CTCGGAAGGGGGCCCGGGGAGGCACAAAGCAACGCCGCACCCCGCAGCCGCGGGTGAGACGACTGGGGCGGGCGCGGGGAGGCTGGCGGGTGGGTCGCGGGCGAGAGCGACGACGACGACGACGACGACGACGACGACGACGACGACGACAACACCAACACCAGCAGCAGCAGCAGCAGCAGCAGCAGCAGCAACAACAACAACAACAACAACAACAACAACAACAATCATTTTACCCGAACGCTCAGTGTTCTCACCAGTGCCAGGGTTTTCATGCGACGCCCGCAATACCCCCACTTCGTGGGGGGGCAGTTCAAGCTCTACCAAATATCCAAACGACTCTTCGCGACCACCCAAACCCAGCTTCCCGCCCTATGACGTTGGGACACTTCACTTCGTGGCGTGCGGACGACCGTGGCTACTACACTGGCGTGGGGTACACACCCACAGAACTTGGTCACTTATTCGGGGCGCGCGTGTGCCCAGCATCCTGCAATTGTGACATACAATACATGACACAGACAGACAGAGAGAGAGACAGAGAGCAGACAGAGAGAGAGACAGAGAGAGCGGAGTTGGTCACATTTTTGGGGCAAGTTCCTGAGATCGTCGTGTTTTTTGTTGGTCTTGCGCGCGCGAATGTCCACTTTACTTTTTTTTGCAAGGGATGTTGAAATTTGATTATGTAAGAACAAGAAAAAGTAGCTCGCGCGAGCTTATGTAACATAAATGTTGAAAAACCATTGGTTTTGTGGGAGTCGGACAGCGCGCGCGGGATGAAATTTGGACATTTTTTTTTGAAAAACCATTGGGTTTTTGATGTTTTTATGTTGAAATCGTTACGAAACCTAAGGTTCTGGAAGGATTTCGTCTTGCGCGCGCGAATGTCCACTTTACCTTATTTTTTGCAAGGGATTATTGAAATTTGATTATGTTAGAACAAGAAAAAGTAGCTCGCGCGAGCTCATGTAACATAAATGTTGAAAAACCATTGGTTTTGTAGGATTCGGACAGCGCGCGCGGAAGGACATTTTGACAATTTTTTCTTAAAAAACCATTGGGTTTTTGATGTTTTTATGTTAAAATCGTTACGAAACCTAAGGTTTTGGAAGGATTTCGTCTTGCGCGCACGAATGTCCACTTTACCTTATTTTTTGCAAGGGATTCTTGCAATTTGATCAAGTAAGAACAAGAATTTTCATTTTCTATTGTTTTTTGCAAGGGAAAACGAGCGTCAACAAAAAACCGGATCCGGACACAATCCACTTTTCTGAAGCTTTCGCGAAAAAATGATGAAAATGTAGCTGCGGCCTAGGCGCGGCGCAGAGGTCGCGCACCAGGGGTCCCAACAATAATAATTCTTTAGAAGGAATAATGTTCAACAATTACTAGCACGTGGGGACACTCCGTTCTCACCAGCGCCAGGGTTTTCATAGGAGGCGGGCAATACCCCCACTTTGTGGGGGGGCCGGTTCAAGCTCTACCAAATTTCCAAACGACTCTTCGCCACCACCCACACCCAGCTTCCCGCCCTATGACGTTCGGACACTTCACTTCGTGGCATGCGGACGCCCGTGGCTACTATTCCGGGCCCCGCGGCCGACGACGACGGCGTGCGCGCGCGAAGAAAAAACGAATGTGTCCCGCATGGTATTATTTGACAGGGATGATGGCCTGGCAGGTGCGCAACCGTTGTTGCAGAAGTTCGAAAAAGTTGCTCGCAAAAGCCCGTTTGACAGAAATGATTAAAAAGTGTTGGGTTTCCTACGAATCCGCAAGAGCGCGCGGGATGAAATTTTGCAATTTTTTGAAAAAAAAAAAAAAAACATTGGTTTTTTGATGTTTTTAATGTTAAAATCGCTACGAACACTAAGGTTTTGGAAGGATTTCGTCTTGCGCGCGCGAATGTCCACTTTACCTTATTTTTGCAAGGGATTCTTGAAGTTTGGTTATGTTAGAACAAGAAATGTCCACTTTAGCTTATTTTTTGCAAGGGAAAACCGATCGTAACAACACAACCGGATCTGGATGACATCGTTTTACCTGAGACTTCCTCACGAAAATGATGAAAATGTGGCTGCGGCCTAGGCGCGGGGGGGGGGGCGTGCACCAGGGGGCCCAACAATAATTATTCTTTAGAATTAATAATGTTCAACAACAACAACAACAACAATTACTAGCACGTGGGGACACTCCGTTCTCACCAGTGCCAGGGTTTTCATAGGAGGCGGGCAATACCCCCACTTTGTGGGGGCCGGTTCAAGCTCTACCAAATTTCCAAACGACTCTTCGCCACCACCCACACCCAGCTTCCCGCCCTATGACGTTCGGACACTTCACTTCGTGGCATGCGGACGACCGTGGCTACTATTCAGGGCCCCGCGGACGACGACGACGGCGTGCGCGCGCGAAGAAAAAACGAATGTGTCCCGCAAGGTATTATTTGACAGGGATGATGGCCCTGGCAGGTGCGCAACCGTTGTTGCAGAAGTTCGAAAAAGTTGCTCGCAAAAGCCCGTTTGACAGAAATGTTTAAAAAGTGTTGGGTTTCCTACGACTCCGCAAGAGCGCGCGGGATGAGATTTTGACAATTTTTTGTTGAAAAACCATTGGTTTTTTGATGTTTTTATGTTAAAATCGCTGCGAACACTAAGGTTTTGGAAGGATTTCGTCTTGCGCGCGCGAATGTCCACTTTACCTTATTTTGTGCAAGGGATTCTTGAAGTTTGGTTATGTTAGAACAAGAAATGTCCACTTTAGCTTATTTTTTGCAAGAGAAAACCGATCGTAACAACACAACCGGATCCGGACTCCCCCGTTTTGCCTGAGACTTCCTCACGAAAATGATGAAAATGAGGCTGCGGCCTAGGCGCGGCGGGGGGGTCGTGCACCAGGGGCCCCAACAATAATTACTCTTTAGAAGTAATAATGTTCAACAACAACAACACCACCACCACCACCACCACCACCACCACCACCAACAACAACAACAACAACAACAACAACAACAACAACAACAACAACAACAACAATTACAACAATCATTTTAAGACTGTTCGCCCGTATATGCACGAGTGCCCCATAACGCGTATTTCCCAGACCCTCGGTACCCGCCCTTTTCGTCTTCGATCGCACCCCTTTCGGGGGGTATACCTTTCTTCCCTGCAGGCCGGGCCCCGGCAAGCGGCGGGGCGGCCGCGGACCGTCGGCCTGGCCAGTGGCAGCGCTGATTGGCGGGGCGGCCGCGGAGAGTCGACCCGACCCCAAGAGGGACGGGCAGGGGACCGACCACGACGACGACGTCGACGACGACGGCGACGTCGACGACGAGCGAAAGCGAGAGCGAGAGAGAACGACACAGGGCCACGAAGGGCACGAAGTAGGCCACGAAGGGCGACAGCGGGGACACGAAAGGAATGCGTATGGGGCCACGAAGAGCGCGAACGAGCGGGGGCCACGAAGGGCAGATAATGCGGGGCCACAGAAGGCAACGATGGGGCCACTGAGGGCAGGCAACCAGACCAGTAGACAGCGCGGGCGCCCACCATCGGCGACAGCGGGGCCACGAAGGGCATGCACATGGGGCCACAACGGGCGCGAACGAGCGGGGGCCACGAAGGGCATACGTATGTTGGGCCGCGGAAGGCAAGGACGGGGCCACTGAGGGCAGCAACGGGGCCACGAAGGGCAGCGACGGGGCCACGAAGGGCGACAGCGGGGCCACAAAGGGCATGCATATGGGGCCACCACGGGCGCGAACCAGCGGGGTCCACGAATGGCATACATGTATGGGGCCACAAAGGGCAGCGAGGGGGCCACAAAGGGCTGCAACGGGGCCACGAAAAAAGCGAAGGGGCCACGACGGGCTGCAACGGGGACACGAAACAAAGCGATGGGGGCCACGAAGGGCTGCAACGGGGCCGCGAAGGAGAGCGAAGGGGCTACGAAGGGCTGCGACGGGGCCACGAAGGGCTGCAACGGGGCCACGAAACAAAGCGAGGGGGCCACGAAGGGCTGCAACGGGGCCACGAAACAAAGCGACGGGGCCACGAAGGGCTGCAACGGGGCCGCGACGGGCAGCGAGCAGACCACGAGGGGCTGCAACGGGGCCACGATACAAAGCGAGGGGGCCACGACGGGCTGCAAAGGGGACGCGAAACAAAGCGAGGGGGCCACGAACGGCTGCAACGGGGGCCACGAAGGGCAGCGAGATCCCGATTCCTAGGTAATCTGCGAAGGAGTCCTAAGCGTGAGCGCGACTCCTGGGTGCCTGGGTGTCGGGAGCGCGGCGCTCGAGTAAATTGCCGGAAATTCCAACGCAAGGGCGCTATTCGTCAGTAGTTTGCAAGCAAGTCTCCAGCGAAAGCGCGACTCCAGAGCGCTGGGAAAGCGATTCCTGAATAAATTGCAAAGAAGTCCCAAGCCAGAGCGCGATTCCTGAATGAAATGCGAGGAAGTCTCGGGCGGGAGCGGGGGTCCTTGCTAAATTGTGAGGAAGTCTCCGGCGGGAGCTGTTGTTGTTGTAACCTGGGGGCCAGGGGTACAGTTTGAGCATCAAGACTTTCCCTGCCGAAAAACTGGGTGCGAGCGTCGGGGGGCAGACTTTGATTCAGGAAAACCAGTATGCACCGGTGGGGGGAGACCAACAATAATTATTCTTCAGGAGTGAGAGTTCACCACCAAAAACAAGAACAACACCAACACCAACACCACCAACAACAACAACAACACCAACCAACAACAACAATCATTTTAGGCCCGATCGCCCTTATATGCTCGACTGTCCCAGAACGCGTATTTCCCAAACCCTCGATACCCGCCCTCTTCGTCTTCGATCGAACCCCTTTTGGGGGGTATACCTTTCTTCCCTGCAGGCCGGGCCCCGGCAAGCGGCGGGGCTGCCGCGGACCGTCGGCCTGGCCAGCGGCAGCGCTGATCGGCGGGGCGGCCGCGGACCGTCGACCCGACCCCAAGAGGGACGGACAGGGGACCGACCACGA